GGTAAAACCCCCCCCCCCCCCGGCTTAGGCCCCCCCCCCCGGTGTTTGCCATCGGGGTTGGGTTTTCGTCGCTTGGCAACGACGTTGTAAAACAAGCCGCCCCCCCCCGTGTTTGCCATCGGGATTGGGTTTTCGTCGCTTGGCAACGACGTTGTAAAACAAGCCAATTCACTTCGTGAACTCGGCAACCAGGTTGCCGTTTTTTTTTTACCTCTGTTTTTTTTTTTGGCGGTAACCATGAATGGTGGTCGAGTAGATCATGTTGTGCGGGGTGGAGAAACCTCACTCCGCGCAAGGGGGATGATCGCACCACGTTGTGTTAAATTGGTCAAGCATCCTCGAGGCAGTTACACAGTGCTTATAACTGTCTCTGGAAGTGAAAGCACCAGAAAATAAATTAAGTCATACGCAGCTGTCATCCGTACGCAAGGAAGTAAGCACAAGATGCCGAACACCCTTAGCAGGATGCAGCTCACCCTTCATGCGACTCGCCGAATACCTCACGGTGCTTCGCGCTTGGTGATGTGAGAGCCTGGTCCGGTGAGAACCCGGCATGCTCCGTCCCGGCTTTGTAGGGATGCGAGGTCAATGGTCTAACGGCTACGGCATGCACGACTATGAGTACCCCCTCCCCCCCCCGCCTACACAGCAGTGCTTGCTCACCGGGATCAGCGGCAATCTCGGGGACCTTTTGGCTCCTTCTATCAGTGACAAACTTGAGGGCACCCTTGTCTTCGTAGAACCCTCGGAACACCCAGGTTCTGCAGGAAGCCCCGCCGCCGATCGCCGCCGTTGCGAGCTGGCAGTACTTGGCTGTTGGGTCGTTCTTGTGCCGTGCAATACTGGAAAAAAGGTGTGCGGATTGTGTACGCCCAAGCCGAGCATGAACGCTGGGAAGTAGCTGCCCGCTCGGTATGCCGCGATATTTTAAAAGAGACGTTGCAGGGTAGACTATGCATATGTGATGTACAGCAGTACAGTAGAACCACGTCCAAAGGTATCTATAGTACATAGTAGTGGTACATGTGCTGCAGTCTACCGCCGTACCGTACACACACAGATAAACCCACAAATCAACCGCACAAGGCACGACCTTGAGAGTCAATCTTGCGCCCACACAACCGTATCAACACTTGCCCGACGTTTCTGAGACTCGGTAATACATGCATGATCATGCATCTCTCTGACGCAGAAGACGTCGAGAAGATGCGTATTCGAGATTCGAGATTCGAGATGTAATGTGCTGTATGTAATTGTACAGCAGTAGTGTAGTACTCTCCACGATGCCGCCGTTGGAAAACGGCCCTCACCCTTGCTGTAGTGAAGCTTGCCATGTTGGTGTAGATGCTGTTCCGGTGGACGCTGCCGCCATAGCTGTTACTGCTGCACCCCGACCAGAGACGGAAGACAGGCTGGGAGCAAGCTTTGTCCAAGAGGTGACTCTCATCAGGTGAAGGAAGTAGAGCAACCAGGACAGAGAAGGGGCGGCACGGCGGCACGACACCTATGCACATCTCCTCGCTGGACTGTTGTTTTCCTCCCCCCCCTGCCATAATCCATGGGACGGAACTCCCAGAGGATCCAGCTCGCGTGTGCCCTCTGTGGCCCTGCTGTGGGCCCTGAAATCAAGCCAGTCCTCACAGCTCACGAACGCGCGACGTTTGCTTGGCAGGCCTCACACGAACACCCGTGGCAGCTAGTGCCTGCATAACTCACGCAAGCAACGAAGATAAGCAGTAAAGCAGTAACCGTACCGCTGTAGCTCCTATGGCAGGAAACGTCAGCGGCAGCCAGCGAGGAGCTGGGTACGAGGACGTACGCAGCGATGAGGCAGTCAAGCTCGCAATGGATCTCATCGACGTCGAGAGCCTCAGCGGGCACGAGCAGCCCATGGCCGTCGTGCTCAAGGAGTGGCTGGAGAAGAGAGACTGGGTCGTGCAGCTGCAAGAGGTAGAGCCGCAGAAATCAACGGTAGATGGTAAGGTCCGACACAACCTCTACGCCCGGCGCCCTGGCATCCCGGCGACGAGGACGGAAGGGCCTCGCGTGCTCTTCAACAGCCACATCGACACGGTATGTGTGTTGGTGGTTTTCACTATCTTGTCTTGGTCGCGGTCCGCCCTAGTAGTGCTGCACGGCCGTGTGTGACGAGCTAGCGGTGTTTCTAAACATGAACATGACCGTACTGTATGCAGTTCTACAGCAGAAGTCGATAGAGAAGGACTGGCGAAAGATAGAATCCTCCGTTCGACTCTCCAGGTACGCATACATGCATACGACGGTTTATGCGCATCGCCAATGTAGGACGACGTTCTCCGCTTTCGAGGTGCCTCATGAGGCGAAGTGTGTGGGCTCACGGCATCGGTTGCTGTTGGTGACCATGCTGAGGCTCATGTCCAACAGGGGTCACAAATGGAGCGACCCGCTCGCCCAAATATTCCTGCGGCGAAAATCACACATCGACGTGGGCTTGCGCTGGCGTTTGTAGGTCGGGCGCACCCAAAACTTGACGACTTGTCGTTCTTTTTGGTACTCCTGCTGAACATCCTCGTTTTGTAGTTCGGCATTGAACGCTACTCGTGAGAGTGACTGACCTACTGCCTCTCTGAGAACACAGGAGACCTGGCGCAATAATGACACGTCAACAAACACCTCCGTTTTTTCGGGTTTGTTGATGGGGCGCAGTCAAAACGGGACGATGCGCCGCGTTTTTGGCACGCCTGCGCTGGTCTGTGTATCATCTCACGCCACAGGCCGATGTATGCGGCTATGATTGGGTGATTGCTTCTCATACTTTTTCGACAGGTCACGCAAAAGCAACCCCAAATCCTAAGCCCCAAGTTGTTTCCAAAGATAAGAAACAACCGCCTGAAGTTTTTTTTTTTACCTGTACAAGCTGTGTGTCCGACACCTCCTCCATACTCTACGAAGGCGCCGCCGTGCATTTCGGGGGGCACGAGATCACTCGCCCACCATACGGCGCAGAACAGAAGATAGAGTTTTGAGTTCGGTTTGACCGCAGAGGGTTCGGCAGCAAAGCAAAGAATGAGAGCGAGTTTTGTCCATCTGTGCTTGGTCGAAGAGATCCGAACGAAAATGAACACCGCGAAGCTTATCCCCGCAGGTCCCTCCATTTTTCGGCGCCGAGCTGTGCGACGTTGACGGCGAGATGATCATCAAGGGACGAGGGGCTTGCGATACGAAGGTGAGACAAGCGTGCTGTTTGGTGCAACTCCCCGCTACCGCGTCGGTACCACATGCCATTGCCAGCCTTTATCCGACGGCGCATTCATGGTCCGAGAGTAGGGTATGCCAATCGGGTGCACGAGACAATCACGGGTGTTGGGCTCTCTTCCAGCGATGGGTGGAGGAGTAGACAACTCACCAAACATCGTACGTGGCTGTGGACTTGTGGTTGTTGATCAGCGAGTACTCCTCTCCATTAGGACGAAAGTAAAGGGGTATGCATGCAGGCTTGAGCGAGATTGTGTGTGGCAAGCGCTGACGGCAGTGATGATTGTGCAAGCCGGGTAATACAACCGCGCGCGCGCAGACGGCTAGCTGCTTGGTTAACACGCCAGAATGCCGGCCGCCTACGCTTGGTTCAAGCGTTAGAAACGAGCACTCTTATTATTCCTTATCTTCCATTCCCTCGCCAGCTGCGTTGGAGTCCGTACTCCAGCACTATCTCCCCAACTTTCACCTGAAAACAGAGTGCTTGCAGCGGACAATCTGTGCTTCGACTGCTCTGACACTGTCAGCTTGTTGAATATTCAGCGCGTTCTGTAACCTGGAACTGAATGGTATCGTAGGGCATTCTGGCGGCGCAGCTGCTGGCGCTGCAGGCTCTGGCGGACGAAGGGGTGGATGACATCGGACTGCTGTACGTCGTATCCGAGGAGACGGATCACAGCGGGATGATCAAGGCCAATGAACTGGGTGAGGTGGAGTGTGTGGCACCAAGGGTTGGAGCACCACGTAGTCGGGTCATGTCTCGTGAATGTGCTGCGGATGCAAGAACAATCTAGCACAGAGAGTGCTTCGTCTCTCTCTCTCTCTCTCTTTCTCTCTCTTAACAGCGTTCCTATTGCGAGAATTCTTGTGCCCAAACATCTTCCTTTCGGTCTCTGGAGGGCACAAGAGCGGCCAGAACTCCTACCCCCGACTTCCTGTGAAGATCCGGTGCTGGAAGTGCGCATAAACTGCGCTTGTCTTCTTACGGGATTCGATAGATCACCTATCGATTGGTTGATGACGAACGATCCCAAGAACGGTGCATTGGAAACGTCTGCGTGATCCCACGAACAAATCGCGTCCAGCAAGAAAAAACCGAAGGCACAGCCTAGCTGAGGCAACACGTGAACATACATGCGAACACGAAGTTTCGTGCACCGGGAACAAGCAGGCATGTCAATATGGTGCCCCTCTCTCATACATTCCCAGGCATACATTGGTACAACCTTGATTTCTGTATTTTTTTGTTTTTGTCCTTCGCTGCACTATGAGAAACGGCTCAGCCCATGAACGGTGCGTGATGTTGTTTTGTGGCGCGTGTGACAGGGCTTGAACCGAGATACATGATCGTGGGAGAGCCGACCGGTTCGAAGATGATGCGACTGCAGAAGGGCATGCTGAAAGTCCGTCTCTCCTGCCGGGGTGTGGCGTGCCACAGGTGATCGCGCTCTGTCACGCATATATGTAGCATTGTGACGTCGTGCTGTCATTTTGTACGCTCTTACCCCTGATGAGGTAGGTGTGCACCGTTCTCTCGCAACATGAGAATCCCCCGACAGGAGAACCGGCTGCCCACCTAGCAATAGACAAGTGACACGTAGTGCCTCACGATTTCGCTACCTTCGGCGAAAGCAAAAAGGTGCTAGGTACGGTGTACCAGCGGGTGGTTTCGAGCTGGAGGCTCAGAGTTTCGCTTCTTCCCCGCGATTCACAACCACACGCTCGCAAAGTCAACTGCGGAATGGCGGGAACATATCCTAGAATGTCTGCATCCTGATTATTCACGAGCCCGCTTTACGTTCCGCCTCTCCCTTGATACCTCTCCCCCTAACGACATGAAGTGGCTACCCCCACCTGGGGGTGTCGGCCATAGACCCACTGGTGGAAGTGCTCCACGCCATCAAGCACCGCGCGTGGCCGTCCAGCGAAGAGCTAGGAGAGACGACCGTCAACATCGGCCTCGTCGAGGGCGGTCAGGCGGCCAACGCTTTGGCGGAGGCTAGCGAGGCCATCGTCATGTTTCGCCTGATTCAGGAGCCGGAGGGGGTGCTCGACGCCGTCAAGGCTATCGCGGCGGAGCACGACTGCGCGGTTGAGGTGATCACGCAATAGCAATTACCCGTCGTATTTTTCTTGTGGGGTGACGTGATGTGGGAAACTCGCAGTCCGCGGACTTCACCTCTAATTGTCATTGAAATATGTTGCTCATAAGACACCGCGGTGGGAGCAGCCGCAGCAACACGGCAATTGTTCACAAATTATGGTCACCTCTCGGGCGGGCAATCAGCGGCTGGCATCCTCCATATATTATGCGACCATTTTCTTGCCAAACACGAACATGGGCCAGTTTAACGTCTCGCTGTGCTCGTTACAGCTTGGTCTCGGTCCACCACAAACATTCTCTTGTTCCCTCTGCCGTTGTTCTTGGCCACGTTCAGGTGATCTCGAAAAATGCTCCGGTATCGCTGGAGGTGCTTCCGGACTTCGAAGCGGATGTGGCAGCTTACAACACGGACATCGCGTGAGTTTGTTGGGCGTGGGAGACGAGTGATTTTTTCACCAAGTTTCGCACTCGGTGCATTACCACCGTGGTATCGCGTTAGGGGCCTTGTCGTCAATTTCCCTGTCCATGCGACTTTTTTTGCTCTGGGGTCTCCGCTGGGACGATGCCAGCACTGTTGCCGCGTGAATTGCTTCCAAGCCCGCTACGACTTTCGACATGTTGCAGTCATTGGAGTGCCGCTTGCTTACTTCTTTTTCGCAAACTTATGCGGGCAGACAGTGGCCCTCCTTAGTTCCATTCCGCGGTGAATTGCGTCGCAACGGCACCCCCAGAAGATGAAATAGACAAATATCATGCTGGAAACCTCGCTGCCCAATCCCTCCTCCTGTCGTGGATTTGTTTAGGTACTTCAAGCTGCCCAAGGGGCGGGCGCTGCTCTACGGCCCCGGTTCCATCCACCACGCCCACAGCCGAATAGAGAAGATCGGTGTGACGGAGCTCAAGGACGCCGTAGAAGCGTACAAGAAGATCGCCAAGAGCTGCCTAGGCCGACCACCGCTATGAACTGCCGGCGATGCTCTTTCGCCGAGGGATGTTTGTCATGCTTTTGCTTAGAGTGTTTGTCGTGCTTTTTACTTAGAGGTAAGAGACACGAAAGAGTGCAAGGAACCGTGCGTCTCGTTCGTTCGCCTTGTGGTGGCCAAAGAACATGCCTGTTACTCGTAGAAACACGGGGGAGTAATAAACGATGACTAGCACATTTTTGAATCCCGTAGGTGAGAGTATCGTCGATAGGACGAGAACATAGTCCTTGAGGGGTACTTCATGTGTGGCGGTCGCATGAGTTTACAGTTCCTTCTAGCACGAAGCTGAGAGTGAACGTAAGAGGTGGAGAGATTCCCCCCCTCTAGACCGAATTTCAAACCTCAATCGCCCCACAACCAAGCTTGTGCCAACACCGAAAGTGGTGGCATTGGAAACATCTCGTCGACTGCTTTCCGTAGACGTACCGGGCTCTTTACGCACCCACTTCGGTATGGAGCAATCGACCTTTGAAAGTCAGTCTAGGGGGTGTACTCATAGTCGTGCATGCCGTAGTCGTTAGACCATTGACCTCGCATCCCTACAAAGCCGGGACGGAGCACGCCGGGTTCTCACCGGACCAGGCTCTCACATCACCAAGCGCGAAGCGCCGTGAGGTATTTGGCGAGTCGCATGAAGGGTGAGCTGCATCCTTGCTAAGGGTGTTCGGCATCTTGTGCTTACTTCCTTGCGTACGGATGACAGCTGCGTATGACTTAATTTATTTTCTGGTGCTTTCACTTTCCAGAGACAGTTGTAAGCACTGTGTAACTGCCTCGAGGATGCTTGACCATTTTAGCACAACGTGGTGCGATCATCCCCCTTGCGCGGAGTGAGGGTTCTCGAGCCCGCACAACATGGTCTACTCGACCACCATTATGGTTACCGCCAAAAAAAAAAACGAGGTGAAAAAAAAAACGGCAACCTGGTTGCCGAGTTCACGAAGTGAATTGGCTTGTTTTACAACGTCGTTGCCAAGCGACGAAAACCCAACCCCGATGGCAAACACCGGGGGGGACGGCTTGTTTTACAACGTCGTTGCCAAGCGACGAAAACCCAAACCCCGATGGCAAACAAGGGGGGTCTAGGGAGGGTGCCATCTCTCCGCGCTTTACGGTCACCGGTGGCCAGAGGCAGGTTGTGGATAGGTTGGGGCACCGATCACAACCTGGGGGGGCAGGTTGTAGGGAGGTTGCAGCCCACAGTGTGCAGATTTTCCCGCATCTCGGAGAGTGGCGTTATTCCAACCAACACAGCGGACAGCAAGCAAAGGAAAAATGGGTTCAAGGATTAACTCGGCCTCCCAACCCCCCCCCAGGTTGTAGTTTGTGCCCAACCTGCCTCTCTGGCCACCAGTGGTACCTTGTACTAATGAACGCGTTTGTGTGTGTTTTCGTTTCGACCGTCGCACACGACCTTCATACGAACGAATCGAGTTTAGATGCAAGCCATCATCCCTTGTGATAAGAAATGACAGCAGTTTACCGAAGACTATAGCGCACATGGCCGGTGCTGTTCATAAGGTGGATAAGGTGGTCCGGGTATTCACGTTTTCCTTACATACGAAGGGCAACGGCACGTCGCGGGTTGAAGCCCTCACCTTCCGAGTACTTGTACTTGTGTTGGATGGAGACTAGACAATGACTTTTTTTTTAAGGAAGTTGAGGTGGGTGGCCAGTTTCCGCGTTCACCTTCTTCACAATCGAGGGTACCAAAACGAGGCACACATATGAATATTTGCGTCTACATTTTCTCTTATCGTGCTCGCACAATTCTCAGTTTGACTCGCATCAAGCAAGGGGGTCGCGTTTGTGTGTGTTGTGGGCACCTCCATGCCACGCCTCCTTTCGATGGACTAGGAAGGGATCTCACCGTGTGCATCTTTGGGCAACAGCAGTGAGCGCGCCTGGAAGGAAGAGAAATTCCATCAAGTGCCTTATGTCAGTTTTTTTCCTACCAAAACTTGAAAAGATGGTAGCAACACACGCCGGACACCGGTACTCTTTCAAAGTCAAGGTTCCAGTTTGACAAGCAATCGTTGGGCTCTATAGAAGCCGAAATCAAACCATTAGACTAGTCAGCGCTGACTAGTCTAATGGTTTGATTTCGGCTTCTGTAGCTCCCACCTTTGAAGCCTGATTTCCCCCCCTTTTTGTCGCACCGGAACCAACCGTGGTAGTATCATTTATTGAGCTGCGCGACATCCATGAACATGCAAACGTTGGTTTGGCCGAAAAAAATATCAACCAAGTGCTCGCAAGGTGTTGTCGGCTGGAGCGTATCCTGAGATGGGCTTGTGGGGTAATCTCTTTACCGACAGGGTTGAGTGACACCTGCTGGAGAGCGGACATGTCATTGTTGGCTACAGAGAGCCGTTCGTTTTATCGCGCACCACCTCTCTACATACGGTCTGCAGTTCTACTGCGTATTTTGGTCTGTTGAGAGAGGGCTGCCGGGCTTTCCTTTACCAAGCGCAGGTCGCCGTATATCTTAGATTGACTAGATGATAAAGGGTGCTCTGAGATGACGCCCGGATTGTGTAACCGACGTCACCGATAGATACAGTAGGGGCAGCAAGATGCGGTCTGTGTATGCCCGTGGGCGTTTCGTCTCTGAAACGTAGTCCGGGGGTCAGTCCATCTTTTACCCTCCCACGCCCTTACACCACGCACGTCCGACTGCCAGCTGGCAACACGCACAGTCGGCTAACTATCTGGCGGCTTCTGGCACGGTTTTGCGCTCTTGTCATTGGCGAGTGGTGAGAGCGGTTTTCTGGGGGAGAGGCTCGAAGCGAGGTGAGGTTGCGGTGGAGGTTTTTTATTTGGGGATAACATGGAATACACCACACGATTGTCCGAGACACACGAGACACACACGCACGAATTGGCCGGCGAAAAAGGAGTCCATAGTCAATGCATCCCTTTTCTCCACGCCTCATGTCACTCGGCAAGACAAGCCAGGGTCGGCGTGCCGTGCGCTTCGCTACATGGTTCCCTGTACAAAATGTGAACACATTCGTTCTCATGGCCTGTCTGTACGTCGGTCGCTCTCATGCTTCATGCACCCGCTCAATATTTGGCTATATTTTTCGGAACCTTTTTCAGCAGCTTCTCACTCGGACGGCGCCAAAAAAGCCTCGCGCCGGTGAGTATGAGTAGTGGAGCCTACCCAGTCTTTTGCACTGCATGGTGCAAAGTAAGGTGGTGCTCATTGTCCACGGTATGTAGCACTTGGTTCCGGGACTGGTGCGCCAAACATGTGACATCGTCAAAATTCAGACCAGAAAGGAATTCATGTCCCTGTAGTCTACTGCGCGTGGGAGGAGCAGGTGCGAGGAGGATACGGGTAGGAAGGCAGAGTGTCCCCTATTACTATAGTCTACCTCAATGGGCTAGAGAGGACGCGATTAACCTCTTTTACGAGGACGGGCGAGAATGAGCTGGGTTTATGGAACAGTTACCACCCGAAACGACGTTGTTTTCAGTCTACTCCACCGACATGCGTAGTGTTGTACATTGAATTTCACGAACAGCAGTTTCTTCACCAGCTCTTTTCTCCGACGATTGTCGTGACAGCGCTGCTCTCATCATAAGTATTACACCGGAGCCAGTCGTCTGGCTCTCTCTGTCAATACCTTGGGTGAAAACTTCTGTACTCGGGAAATCCTCTTGTGAATGCCTGCGAGTGTCGTCGTTCATGTACTTACGGAGTGAAGTTCCTCGAGTGATGCAAATGGGGTACGTCGCTGTACAAACGCACAGTAGCTTGCATATCGTGGTTTTGCGTTTGTATTGCCGAAGCATATTGGAGGGTAGCCCTCAACATGATGTGCAGATATATCTAAGGGCGCGTTTCCCTCACGCACAGTCGCTCGTAATTTTCACACATGCGGCGAGAGACAATGAAGGACCCATGAAGTTTTCGCCTCGGATGTTTGTGAATGAGGGGCACCAGGCCGAATTATGTACATATTCTTGCATCCTGTATCTCGGCCTGCGTCAGGTTTCGCACCGCCAATACCAGCAAACACGGCTACATGCCGCACTTGAGATGGTACCCGGAACGCGTTACATCTAAGTTGTACATACTGTAGCTCCATGCTGTAGCGTTGGTGACGCCTTCGTCGACATATCATGGGGTGATACGGCGTTTAGTCCCGAACGAGCAACAAACACCTGGCCCTGCAAGCTCGCTGAAATCCAGGACCGCAGGGAGAAAGCTGCTACTGGTGTACATCTATCCTGGTAGGAGTTAGCATTTTTTTTGTCCCTTTGGAAGACAAGCTCCAGCCCCAAACTATGAAATGCCTTCTTTCCTGTAAAAAGCATCCCAAATATTACATATTGTGCGCATGTATGCGATTGCATACACGTAGTCCAGACTATGTAGCTTTACTTGAAGATAGTGTCCCGACGTGCTACTGAACGTAAATCGATGCAATTACCCCTCCTGCCAACGTCTGCGCTACACAATGTTACCAATATGCAGTGAAACGTGGGGTATGGCTCCAGGCCGCGGCAGGGTCACCCTTGTCTCAGGGCATTCATATTTTACGCCTACATGGACCACCTAACCACTTCTATTGGCATGCTGTCGCTCGAATAACCGGGATATTCTCTTCGTTTGCTTAACACTTAATGCCCTGAAAATATTTCTATTCACTCAAATATTCACTCCGGCTGCATCACGGGTGGTCACTGGTACAAGTTGTAAGGGGTTGGGGTGCGGCCGCAACCTATAACCTCGCGAACGGGGTTATAAAACTCCATGCAACCTCGACTTAACGGCCAGCAACGCCACCCACTAACTAGGATTGTGCGAAGTGTTCACACAGTATTGCCTGCAACACTTGCGCAAGCCAAGTCTCAACCAAAGATCCCCACGAAGCTTGCCAAGTTGCCAGAAGGGGGGAGCATGGGCAGGAAAAATACCCCCCTTGGTGGATAGCAGTTGCGCTGCCCAGCCAAGCACCGCGCCAGCAGCGTGTCGATCGAAAGGGTGGTAGGTGATGTTTCGTTAACAAGTCAAACCTCCGTCAAATTGTTGGTGGGTGGAGCGGCAGCCAGACGTTGATCTCGCCTCTTTGGGAGAGATACTACGTACGTATCCCATGAATTCTGTCGTTTTCCTATGTGTTGGAGGTGCACCGGCAGAACCCAGAGCGTACAGTGACCACAAAATATCAGGACCAGTAGCATAGAACGTGTCTCTCTTGAGGCTGCTATTGCTCCATGTTCGACGGCGCTCTGTGGCATGCCGGAGGAATAAGGTCAATGTTCTCGCACCCATGTTGTTCTTGTCAAGCTGTAGCTCTTCAGTGTTTTGAGGTCACGCTGCGGCCTTCTCAGTGACGACGT